TATGCCTATGGGATTTTTAAAAAATTTACAAGGCTGTTATTTCACATTCATTTTGGCATACGGATGTATGCTCACCCCCTTATTCCAATTACCAGTGTTTTTAGTTGATTTTCTCTAATTATTTCCAATGTAACTCCTCCCTTTATTCAGCAATGTTGAATCTTCTCTCATACTTTGTTTTAAACTTTGCCTGTTTAATTCATTACTGAAGCTTGAAAGTTATGATAGCCATAGCTGCATGTTGCAGATGAGGAGAGGTATGCACAAACCACTCAATCACAACACTGTCTAACTTCAGGTTTTCTAAAAGTTAATGGAGATCAAGTAAACTAGTAAACAAGAAAGTGCTGCCATCAGGTCACTTACTTTTATGGCTAGCTTAAGCTCTTAGATGCTCTGTAACTGAACTAAATCCTAAGAATTATGCAGACAGCATGGACATACTCAGAGTGGTTATGAGCCCTCCTTGTGAGACAGCAGCATCATCAGCTTTCCCACGGCAGCCTCCTGAGGGGTTGTACAAGGCTCCCTTATTTGTTGGGTTTGCATTTGTTCTAAATGAAAACTCTACATGTATAACCTTGGCTTTCAAAGAAAACATAGAACAGCATGAAACTGAGTGATACCTTGCAGTCTATCAAGATATCCAGCAATAACAGAAAGATCTTAGATTGTTCCATCTAGTACAGTTAGAAACAATGCAGGTGAGGGAGTCACTCCTTTCTGTCCATTTGATTTTAAACAGCTCCCTATGGCTATGGTCATTTTTCTTCCCATTATCCAAAGAGAAGTAGAAAACAAAATAACAAAAATCCAGGAGCTCTCTCATGTTCTAGGGAAGAGCATATGAATTTTGGATCTCGTAGATAGACCTTCAATCAATCTACTCAAACCTTATTATTAGTTCATAAACATGAACTATGTTACGTATGCAATTAATATCAGAGTGAATGCTGAAACATTCATGTGGAGAGTTCCTGAAATAACACAACATGTTGTCAATCATACCTAGAGATTCATGGGGAATTATCTGAGGTGAGGTTCATATCCTTTGAATTCCAAAAGACTGGTTCATCATGAGATGTGGCCACTAGATTATGCCATGATCTGTGTGCAGTACTTTACTCTCTTGTCACCCTGACATCTTTTTTCCTGTCCATGCCATATATTTTGTAGTCAACGAGATGACTTGATAACATCTTCCTGTAATCTTTTCATAAATTTACCTGCCACTTGTTATCCAGTGTATGCTTATAATTTACTATTTGTTTTACACAAGAACCTAAACAATATTTGGCATTCTGTGGTAAGACCTTCACAAACACACACTCTCCTCTAGTACTGCAAAGATCTTGGTAGGTAGCCACAACAAAGGCAGCCACATGTCAGTGAAAAATCCAAAAATTTCCTACCTCCCATTTTGTCCAACATGTCCAATACACCAGAGTTATGTGGGCACCACAAAAAATAATAGAACTCCACCTCAGTCCAATTGAGTCAGAATCAGGGTAAAGAATACTGAATTTAGGTATGTGAAAAAGTTCTTTGTGTTACTCAGAGGTAATATAATATTATGACTTACAAGAAGGGAATTGTTCAAGGCTTACCTGATTGACAGGCAAAAGCAAGGGCAAAAAACCAGTCCTCTGTGATTCCAATATTTCCTTTAATTCCCGCTGGATGTAATGAGTTGATGTATTTTCTAAAAGTATCTTTCTCAAAAAGGTTCTTTAGCAACCACACCTGCTCCTTTCACAGCATTCCAAGTCAGACAATTCAATTTTTTGGTAAATGTCACTTCCCTTCCCATGATATTCTCTCTTGCTAATTTTCTTTCTTTCTTCTTGTTTTTTGCTAATTTTCTTTTAATTGCCCTCATTTAATTCATGTGATCCTAGGGGCCACAATACTTATTGGATGTTCTGAGGAGAGAGCCCAGGACTTCCTCCCATTCTGTCCATCACAGCACTGCCATGAGGACTTTCAAGCAGATGCTATTTCAAGTCTTCTGCTTAGCTTAGAGATTTCAGGTGGGAGATATTGGGGAAACTCCCCCAAATAAGTCCAAGTAGATTTCCATGGGCCAAGGGAAAATGTCTGGATTAAAGAAGCAAAAACTATCAGCACAATCACCTTCTCCTGGTTGGTAGCAAAGGTAGATATGTGTACAAAACAGGAAGTGGTGACTCTTGTCATTATAGCTTGTATCTATCTAGATGTACCCTCAAAGCCTTGTCAGTCATACATGGCCTTTTTTTGGGAAGTGGTTGTAACAAGAGTCTATGATGTGGGAATCAAGGATATGATGCCAACATTGAGTGTGATGTGTCAGTAACATGGATGAGATAAAAAGGAAACAAAAATGGTGATTTCTTGTCACTTGGTGTTTGGATGCTTTTGCTACTTTCTTCCTGCAACAGACTATTTCTCCAATGTAATTTACCTTAACCATGCCATCCCGCCTTGGAACCAGACAATTACAGGCTGAAATCTGTTCCAACTGTGAGCTGAAATAAAACATTCCTCTTTCAACTTTGAACACCAAGTATTTTGAATCACTAATGAAAATATCTAACACAGAATTTGTTACCACAGAATTGGGGTTATTCTTGTGACTGTACCTGAACATGTGGTTCAGATGCCTTTGGAACTGCCTTCTGAGAAGAGTTTGAAATATTTTAGAGATGCTAGCTGAAGAAACAGCCCTGGAATGCCTTAAGCTGTATTTGATGGAAGATTCTGGACAGAGCACAGAAGAGCAGAATCCTGATAGAAATGCTACCAGTAAAAACCAGGCTCAGAAGCTTTCTGCTGAGTAGAGCTGCATTGGTTGTTAGGCTCCTGACAGTGTATGTTATGTTTGCCAAGTTTGTATTTTGCTCATGTCCATAGACTTTGCCTGAGACTAAAGTTAAGAATGGCAGACTGCACTAGCACAAGAAATTTTGAGGAAGCCTAACATTGAGGAGGTGGCATAACTACCTTTTTGGGATTTTAGCCAGATGTATCTTGAAAATAAAAAGTGCCTAGCAGGATAATTTAAAACTGTTTGTGTTTGGCCAAAAAAAGTTCTAATAAAGTTGTGACTTGCAAAGATTGAGCAAAGGAGAAATTGGCTGCTGAAAACACTAGCAAGAAGAATCCAATTATTTCAGAAGATAGAAATAGAAAGGATGGCTTGAGGACATCGCAAGAAACAGGATGACACCCTTACTTTTGCAACCTCAAAACTGCAAAACTGAAAGACTTTTCTTTGAGACAAGACTAACCCAGAGCATCATTTCTGAGAATAGTGACAGCCTAGAGCAGTTGTTTCTCCGCAGTTGGTTCATAGGCAACTGAATACTAGATGACAGAAAGCCTGACTACTGATCTAGCTGGCAACAGAATTTGGCATCTATGTGAAGATTTTAAGTGTGTTCAGAATGTAAGCGTTGTGGTGCCAGAAAGGCTAGAAAGGCTCCTGCCCAGATTTCAGAAGGTCTGGGAAGGCAAGCCATGTGCTTCTGAGAAGGCAGTATGTGAAGGAAGCTGTAAGTATGAAGTTAATAGTACAGTGGAGACCACAAATATTTGGAGAAGCCAGAGATATGGATCATCTGAGGGAACTTCAGAAAGGAACAGAATCAGCCCAAGAGAGAAGGCTTAGGAGCCACAACCACCAGTGGTGTCAGGGGTTGTGTGCCACTCAAGCCCTATGGAGTTCAGTGTTGCACAGAATACCTAGGGTGATGGATATGTACCAGCAGGATTGTTTGTTTGCTGGATTCTGAACTTGCTTTGTCCCCATCCCTTTCTATCCCATTTGTTCCTTTTGCAATGTAAAGATTTCTCTTGTGCCACTGTATGTTAGTAGTATTTAACATTCATTTGTGCAAGTAAGAGTTTGTCTTAATCTCAGAGACTTTGGACTTGAACTTTTCAGCAATTCTGAAATTGTTAGGATATTTTGGCAACTCTTAGACATGGACTAAATGCATGTTGTATAAATAAATGTTTATGAGTCTTTAGGTGGACCACTGGTGAAACAGTAAGGTTTGTATCTAGATGTGCCAACAAAATCTGAGTCATAGGGGAGACTTGTAGGAGGTGGTTGGATCTAGGGTGTGTGATGTTGGGCTCAAGAATGTGATGCTAGGTTAAAGGGTGAGTAGTCTGGATAAGATATAAGGGGCAGAAAGAGGGTTGTTTGTAATTTGCTGCTTGGATACTTTTGTTGCCTTCTTCCTGACATATAGTATTTCTCCTCTGATTCCCCTTGCCTTGATCTGACTTGGACTCAGCTGATTATGGACTGAAACTTCTATAAGCTGTGAGTCAAAATAAACCTTTTCTCTTTCAACATGAGGTGTTGGATATTTTGTCTCAGCAATGAGAAAAATGAAGACACCTGTCTAAGCTAGGATAGGCATGAAAATCAACATATGAGCCTGAGGTGACAAGAGTCTCTGTCCTATACCTGTGGAGCTCACTGTATAAGACACAGTAAGGAACAAAAGCTATATTCCCCCTCTCCAACTCACAAGCAAATAAATGGAGCAGATAGCTACCTGGCAAGCATCTTTAGAAGCTACCTGTACAATAGTTCTAGGTGAAGGATATCATTCCTGCAGCTTGGACTGTCTTACTAGTTACATCTTTTTCAGTCAGCCACCAACAAAGGGAGACTGTCTTTGGCACAAGAGGCAATACAAACAGATGAACTTCAGAAGTGCCAGCCAGCCCTTGGCAGTTCAAGGGAATTTAAGGGGGAGGTTTCAACATGCAGATGGTGTGGTAGTTTATTGGCATATAGTCTGACTGGGAAACAGGGCCTTGTCTGAAAATGAAGTTTTCTTTGTTTTTTTCTTTAAATTTTTTTTTAAAGCTGAAGATCAAGCTCAGGACCTTGAGCTGGCCAAGCAGGTGCTTAAGCTTCTGAGCTATGTACCTGGCCCTAATTTTTTTTCCAGCTCTGGTTCACTTTCCCTTCTGGGTACCCCTTCTCTCACCTTCTTGATTTCTCCATTTTCCTTCAAGTAAACCTACCAACCATTGATCCCAGGCATGTTGCTGTGCAGTAAGTGAGAAGAATGCACTTTAGTGATGTGTGGGGTGGAGGTCCCTCCTGAACCCAAATTTATTAGTATTCAGCAAAAGAAATATATGTTGTAACATATAGGCAGCACATCAAGATATCCAGATGTCATTAAGAACTATGAGTAGAGACGTCAAAACCCAGGTTATTCTGTGATGCCTCAGGGAAAGGTCAAGCACAGCAAGGGACCATGCTACCCTTTCTACACTGGGAGAGAACTCTTTCCATCTAGGGTGAGGATGTACTGTAGTTCTTAATTACCTCCTTTGTTCACCAAAGATTTTATTTAACATGACCTAAATATAAACTCCTCCTTTCTTCTCCCACCCCACTCATATATGCCAGTAGTGGTAATAAGCACCAATAGCAACAAGAATAATAATCACAGCCCAGTCCATTAATAGGTTCGACACTCACACATATACATCAATATGAACTTTCTTCTTTTGAGTGATTATAGTATGGAAAAATAAAGGATTAGGCCAATAAGCCATTACCTTGAATGTCACTGTTTCCCAAAGTATCATCCACATATGAGCTGAAGCAGGGAGGGGAAGGGGGTACAGTGGTAGGAAAAGCATCCCCCAACACAGCAAGAGGAGTCAATGAGTTCCTCAATCTGTCTTCTGGGCAAGTGTCACAATCTGCAGTCTCAGCTCCAGGAAGGTCTCATCCAAGGATTTCCTTAATGAGATAATTAATTCTTGATGGTGGGAGAATCATTGCCATTTGTCCTTCCCAGCATCTTGACGAAAGAGGTGTGGCTTAAAACCTGTGCCCTCCTTCCTGGGTAGAGAATTTTTCCAACATGGTCCTTTGGAAAAGCTCATTATGACAAATAATACAACAAGGAAACAAAATGGAAATAAGAAATACAAAGAAAAAGGAGAGATGAGTACTCTCAGAAGGTGTACACAAATAGGATACAAAGGAAAAACAAAGTCATAAATCAACACACCGTCTACCTGATTCTGCATACCCTAGGTACCTAGCATTTGTCTTTAGTGCTTGGACATCTGTTATTCCTATCATATTTGGGAGGGAACAAACAGTGCATTATAGCAGGAGTGGGAAAAGGGGGTGGAACCTAGGCAGTTGAGATGCCAACCCTCTGCACACACGCAGTGATTTTTTTAGTCATCTTTTGTTTTGTTTAAAACTATAAACAGCACCACTTAAAAATAAAATATATCAGAAAAGAATAATTGGTAAACATTGCTTTCCTTGAATATAAAATGCAAACAATACAAAAATAGATAATTGACTTTCAACTTGGATACGACACAAGGATAACCTTGAAATCTCCCTGCTAAACTCCTCATGCCTCACTCTAACAACTGGGCCTGGAGGCCAAGGGCAGGTGGGAATGTAGCAGATGGGAAAGCCACTGGCAGTAGAATGAGGACATATACTTAACCTTCTGCAGGTAGAAAGCTACTTTCCTCCTTGAGGGAGAGAATGCTTACTGAAGCCTTTATCGGGGAAACTTGTGTCCTGGTATCCAAGCTAAAGCTAGTTGAGCAGGAAGGGCTTCCTTGGAGACTCTAAAGCACCAAGAAGCTGTTATTCTGGCCCTGGGGTAGGCTTGCTAGGTGGACTTCTCTATCAACATTCACTGGTCCCTGAAGGACTGGTCTTATGTGGGAATTCTCTGGACCAGAGCTTTGAAACACTAACACTGGTCTAGAATTAGGTTAATTCCCCCATTGCCATTCTGTGCTATTAGCACCATATGTTCCTAGCCAGTTATTTCTCCTCAAAGGTGCAACTGCATTTAGTCATATACTTCTGCACTCTAGAGATTCAAAGGGGAATATTTCCATAGCCATGTGTCCTAACTACTTCAATTCTGGTGATAAGCATCCTGTCCCTGAGCTAGCCAGGGCAGTGAAGGAACTTTGAGGCAGTGACAATTTCTGAACCTTGAATTTCTGCTTAGGCCCAAGTCCTACTCTGATGTATAAACTTCTAAAGCCCAGCACAGTGTAATAAAGTTATAACAGCTCTTCACAGAGGCAGTGCATTTTTCTACCCTTTTAATTCTGAGGGTAGCTCTCATCTCTTGGCCAAAGGCTGAAAACTTCCATTTCCACTCCCCAGATTTGCTGATGGGTGTTCTCCAGCAGGATATAGAGGCTGGTGATAGCCACTATCTGTGTGGCTGGCACAGTCCACATTCAGATAGGAGCTCAAGCTGCCCTGAATGAAATCAAGAGGTGTTTTTATTTTTTTTTTCATTGTAAAGGCATTTGGTGTTTTCTTCCTGCCAAATATCCAGGCAAATTTCAGCCACACCCTTCCACAGTAGTTTTGATAAGAGGCTAAATCTTTAAAATCTGGTAACCTCTCTCTTAGAATGCTGTGCTGGGATGGAATGAACCTTGTTTCCATTTTCGTGCTCCATAGAAGATGAGCTTCTTTAAGATATAGTCAATATCAGCCTGGAGAGCTGGCCCAGGTTCCTTGTGGTGTGTTTTTGGCATCATGGAAACTCCTGTGGTACTTGCAAAACACCTAACAGGTTTACTGTTTTCAGGAAAGGTTATGAAACCATCCTTAATCTGAGAATAACAACAAAGAACCTGGATGAATATATGAACTTTCCAAGGATCAGTTAGCCTACAAAATCAACTTGATTCAGTGGGTGATCAGCATCTACTCCAAGCTTAAACTGCCATTTCTCAGGAATGCAAAGAGCTCCATTGACTTCTCTTAACAAGGCAGAAAGATGGCTGAGGGAGGGGTAGAAGATGCAAAAATTGTAATTTAGGTCAATACATTCAGGTAACACAAACTGTCTATGTCATTTCCAATATAGAAATTTAAAAGCAACTTCCCTTAGGGGAATTCATGAGATGTTGGGCCTGGGAAGATTAGATGGTTGCCATGTCTTCTTGACAGCAAATCCTTCATAGCCAGTATGTCTAATCTAGTCCAGCATGAAAATTCATAGATGCAGAAAAGGGGGTGCTATTCAGTCAAAGGACTGAAACTGCAACACAAATCAGAATCTTGTAGGTTAACAGAACAAGGGCACACCACAGTCTTTACTGTCAATAACAGTGGTCCTTTGGTGATGATCAAGACTTGATTCGTGGGAAAATGAAAGTTCTTCAGAGTGCCGGGAACTGAGGCTGAGATTCCTTTGGTATCTTGTGGTAGGAGTGTGAACTTATTTCCTTTATATAATATCCAAAGTAAGAAGTGAGCAAGGATTAAGGAACCTTTTGGTTTTGGGGAGACACATGAGAAGCAATTTTTCCTTATAAGAAGCTGGACTGCCTCAAGCTCCACAGTATGAAGTCTCATTTGCTGGCTGGGACAAATAGACCTCTTTTTCCCTACTCCTGCATGTCAGAAAAACACCAATTCCAATAGCCAAGCCTAATATAGGTTGTGTTTCTTCCCTTATCTCAATTAAAAGACTACAATGAAATCATGAGAACATCTGTGAAAACAAAGTGAAAATTCAAAAGTGTCTGAAATTCAAGCAGTCTCAGAAAAAAAAACTTCTTATAGCTCCAGAGTCCATAACTAAAGAAGTGTCCACAAAAGAACTTGTTTTTAATCCTTTGCTTTCAATTGGACAAAAGTAATCACTCCCTTAAAGGGATTAGTGTTTTTGTCTTCAACCCAAACTATGGCGGGCCAAGTTTAAAGGCCCCATCTGGTGATAATGCCAAAGTCCACAGCAATAGGGAGTTAGACACATGCTACTTGATCTTAAGTACACCTAGCTGGGATAAATAGCTTATAGTCATTTCATGTAATAGTGACAGCTATGCCAAAGCTGAATGGAAGGGGAGGTTCAGTACCATAACTTCACATTGCTAATGGCAAACACTGGCCCACCCATCTCGAAGTGAAAAGTAGAACATACAGACTTTGCTGCTCATCAGTGGTTCATCATTCACTAGGGAGAAGGAACAGAAGATGGTGAGGGTTTAGTCTTCATCTAGGACGCATGATATATATATATATATATATATATATATATATATTCATTAGCTTGACAACTTGAATAGGCACAAATTATTGCATCCTAAACCCTGCATTGGTCACAAGAAAAAGCCCTGAAAAGAAAAACTGGAGCATAGCAGCAGTAGGCTTTCTGGGCAGATGTTCTTGAGTGGAACATGGCCATAGATGGCAGAAGTGGGAAAGGTGAAAATAAAGGTGAAAACCCAGAGTTTTCTTTGACAAAAAGGATTTTCAAGTTAAACAGCAATTCCCACCCCCACCCCTCTGCCCAACCCCTGATCCCATTCACATGCTCAGGCCACATGCCCCTACTCCAGAACTAATGACGACTACTTGGCTAAGTTTCCATTCATAGCAGTGGAGGAGTAGCTTATGGGAAGAGAGGCACCTTGCTCAGTCTTCTCCTTTGATAGGTCAAGGCTAGAAGCCCTGTAGTGACTGGACTGAGACTGGGAGGACTCAGACCAGACCCTAGGCAGCTGAGGGATTCCATGAGTGATACCCACAGGTTTAGCCTGGTGCAAAGGGCTGGGGTTGAATCCTCTAGTACTGGAGGAGCAACTGGGCTCATCATCAGGCACTAGCACATCTTGAGGCCTCGTTCTCACACTCTTGGAGGCCTGTGGCTGGAGACTATAACAAGGGCCCATGGGCAGTGGTAATTGTGAAGGCCGGGCTACTTGAGATCTAGATTCCCCAGGTGCTATTGGCTCTGGCTTGGGCACTGACACTGACATGGCCATAGGAGGTGCACAACAGGCTCCCTGCCCATATGGAGACTGACTGGAAAGCCCATCCAACTGGCTGGGGTTTATCCAGGCAGGGCATGGCCTCACTGGAAGAGGACAGGGAGCCCAGGAAGACCAGTTGTAAGCCCCTGGAGGTTCAGTATAGAGGGATAGGGGACTGACTCGCCCCCATTCTTCCTCTCCTTCATCTTCTTCAACTGAATCTTCTTGCTGGGCCAGAAGCTCAGAGTCCAGATAGCTCTGTGCAAGGTGAGAATTGGAGAGTTCTAGCTCCAGGGTCTCTGCTGTGTCAAGAGAGCGACTTCTCCTGTTGAGAGCTGAGGCAGCAGGTGGAGGTCGATGGTGCATGCCAGGTAGACCCAAATATCGAGGGAGGCTGCTTACACCCCAAGACAGTCCTTGGTAGAATCGGCTGTGGTAGTTGTTGAAGGCATGTTTGTGGTAACAACCCAGCTCAAAAGCTTCTAAAGAGGCTGCAAGGTCTTCATTATTGTGAAACTCAGGATTCTCTTCACACTTCCCTTCCCCATCCCGCTCCACATCAGCTATGTCAAAGGTTACCATGGGAGGCAGCTCAGGCAGGTTTTGAGTGAAGGAGGAGTCAGAGTCAGAACTGCAAGACATGCTAGAAAAAAGGTTTCCATTGCTAGTAAACTCCACTAGGGCCTGTGAAAAACTCACAGTGACATTTCCTTCTTTCTCAACTTCCTCTTCTGGTTCTTCAGGGGGTGAAAAAGTAGGGTAAGCCCTCCGAGGAGACCCTCCAAAATTTGCTTCTTGCATGTCTGGGTCAAACATGGCATTACTCTGGAAAAGCTGCATAAGACAGGTACTTTGATCTTTCTTGGAGCAGGTTCCCTCAAAACGCTTCTCAAGAGGACGGAAGTCCCTCCAGTCTGGTTCACTACTTGCAGTGGCAGGAAAAGCTGAAGTTGTTCCTTGGTGGGAAGGCTGAGAGGCTTCTGATGCCCCTGCCATCAGGCCCATCACTGATGGGCCTAAGGGCCTCATCTGATACTCCAAAATAGGTTTCTCTTGCCAGGCTTGGGCTTCTTGGACTTTGACCTCTACAGCAGGACCATCTGGGCCCTGGGCTTCTTGAGTTTGGCCCTCTCTAGCATGAGCTTCCCAAGTCTGAGCCTCTCGGGTACAGGCCTTTCTGTTGTGGGGCTTCCTGGCATGAGACTCTCGAGCACATGTCTCCCAGGCCTCAAGTTGCTCCCGACGAAGTTCCCAATATAATAACTGTTTCTGGATAGTCACTAGCCGTTCTTCCTCTGTCTCCATTGCCCCAGGTGGCCGAGAAGAAAAGGGCTCAAAGTTCAAGAAGGGGTCAAATATCTCAGAGCTATGGCCATGGAGGTCATAAAGGCAGTCATCCTCAGGTGGAGAGTTCTCAAGACTGTCATCTGGCTCATAAAACTCATATAGGGCATCTCCACTATAGCTGTCTCTGGGTAAACAATCCCTGTGGACAAGCCCCAGGGCCTCACCTGAATCATCTTCAAATCCAGGTGTAGTGGAGTCATAGTAACCTTCATCACTGTTGGGGGCAGACTCTTGCTGGTCACTCTGAGGAGTCAAAAGTTCCCCAGGGACTACACCAGGGTAGGACTGAACTGAGTCAAGGAACATATAGCCATGGTGGCTTGGGGAGATGGTGGAATGGTAGTCTAGGTTAAGATTGGGCCTTGGATACATCTGGGCACTTGCCCACAGATATTCTAAGTCATCTTCTTCTTCTTTGACTTCCTCTTCTTCCTCTAATTCTACCTCCTCATCTTCTTCTTCCTCATCATCATCTGGCAAAGCCATTTCTTCCCCACCTCCTTGGTAGGTCACCAAGCAAGAACTTCGCTTGGTCCCATCTCTGTTGGCCCTCTGACCCCCAGAAGCCATGCTATCTGTCATACTGTCCATGTCCTGTTCTGCTATAATATCACCACAACCTGTCAATGAGTCAAAGCTTTTCAGGGATGTGACATCCCCAAACAGGAGGCTCAGCTGATCTCCCACAGGCCCACTGGGTGGATTTAGCTCTCCCAATACTACCTTTTCTGCTATTTGCATGTGGGACTCCTCTACCACACTGGCTTCTGGGGCAATCTTGGGCTGTACAGGCGATGAAGCAGATATTCCTATGGATTTTTCTAGATTTTTACATGATATTTTCTCAGTAGCTGGTGGGGAAGGCTCTGGTGTTGGAGAAATTTTTGGCCCTGGAGTATCTTGGAGCTTGGTATTTTCCTTTGTAGGTGTTTGGAAGGTCTCCTTAGAGCAGGGCAGAGGGACTGAGCTCACATGCTCATGAGATCTAGCTCTGACCCTCTCAGGTACCTTGGCCCATGGCTCACTTTGCTCAGCTCTAGCAACCCTGCTCTTTCGATGACGCCGGATACTGTTAAAAAAATCTTTTAGGCCTTTCTTTGGCTTTGGTGCAGGGGGTACCTTGTCAGCTCCAGTTTTACTGGTGGCATCAGCCACAGATGTTTTATGCCTGCAGCATATCTCCAAAGCCCCATGAGTACTTTCGGAGCTGGGAGATTGGCAGGGTGATTCAGGTAATGGTAGAGAGAAGCCAGTTTCTTCATTGACAACATCTTTAGGGCCACAGTCTAATTTGCTCAGGCCATCATGTGTTTTACTTTTTCTTAGACCTTTCTTGGAGGTGCTCTTTCCAGAACCTTTATTTCGTCCCCCTCCAAAGAAACTAGGCAGAGTACAGATTCCCTTCTTGCCACCAAAGAGTTTCATGGCAGTTTTCTTCAGTCTACCAGGGCCAGACGAGTGTCGCTCTGACACTGGCACTTCTATTACCTCATCTGTCTTGTTCTTGGCTCCTTTCTCTGCCTCTTGGTCCTGGTTATCCCCAGAAGTTGCCTCTTTCTTGGTCTCAGCAGCTTCATTCTTTTGAGTCTCCATGGTGATGGGAAAACCCAGGTTTGTTCAGGTGGCAATGCCTTAAGCTTCCACGTGGTGTTATACTAACATCAATCAGGAAGCAGCACAGTGCAGTCTGGAGAAGATGACAGAGACAAAGACAAACAGATAGATAATGGTGAGCAAGCACCCATGCTGGGTTTGTTTCCACAGATATCTATGGTCTCAAGCATAAGTGGAACCATAGAGAAAGTAAGAAAATTTGGAGCAAAACCTAGTTTGGCTAGTATCTTCTTGGCCCCAAGTCGGTGAAACCCTCCACTGAGCAAGAAATATTTGTCACTAGCTGCTTTTTTAGCAGTCTACTTTCAGGCCACCCTAAGCTGAAGGGAGCATTAAGCAGAAACAATTGCAGATGTACAAAATGCCCAGTGTTGCTCTTGGTTATCAAGAAGGATTATAGAACTCCATGGGCGTCTCACAATTTTGCAGGCCAGGACTGCAATACAGAACTTGCTCTGCCAATGTAATTGTCTCAGGAAAAATATTCTCTGGGATGCAGGAGGTCTATGAACACCTTCCCTTCATAGAGGTTATCTATAACCATCATGTTACAAAAACAAAGTGATTTTTAGACTATTACATATGATACTTTCTATTAGATTAGGAGCTCTCTTTAAAAAGCAAGAGCTGGGGGCTGGCAAGATAGCTTAGCAGACTAAAATGTCTGCTTAGGCAAGCTTAGGCAAGCTCAGATACCACGGTTCGATCCCCAGAACTACATGCTGTGCCAGCCCCACCTCTAGGGTAGGCTAAACTGATCAGAATCTGGGCATAGTGGCACATGTCTGTAATCCCAGTACTGGGGAGGCTGCATAGTGAGACCCTGCAACAACCATTAAAGATAATAATGATAATAATAATTAAATAAAAGCAAGAGCTGGCGGTCTCCCTGTTTCATCTGAGCTGCAGCACTTAGCTCAATGCCTGTCACTTACTAAATCTTCAGAAGAGGTCTGTTACATGAATTCTAGGGAGGGAATAAAACACAGAACTCTATACACCATAATAACAACCTTGTCAGTAATTTCAGGGATGAAGTAAAGACATGTGTAATAAGTTATATGCACTGAACTCAGTGCTACAGAACAGACAAAGAAGGGAAAACAATCCTTTGCAAAAGCTAAGGAGCTACTATTCCAATAGTGAGAGAGTTCTATATGTAACAGTCTAAAGCCACAAAATGTAGGCCTGAATGAATAGCCCCAGGTATTCCTTAAATTGAGTAGTGGGCTATAATTCCTTAGACAATACCTTGTTAGCATAATCACAATAAAACAGGGCTGATTTTCAGAAACTTGATACCCTACCTAGAGGGCAAATCCATTTGGCCCTTCTCTTGCCCTTGTTCTTGTACACTGTAATGTAGTAATGAAGCTACCACTACTCTCTATGTTGTCCTTTTTCCTGACACAGGCAGCTGCAGTGTTGCAAAAGGAGCCATGGTCCACAGGGAGTCCAAGTCATGCCAACTTCCTGCCAGGGGACTGCAAACAGGTCAAGGTAGCCATGGAGATTATGAGCTATTCTGAGATAATGAGAAAACAAAAGTTTCTTTACTTATCTCTCTACTTCCCTAGTCCAATTGCAATGGTCATTAGATGAGTATTAGATGATATTAACTGTCACCAAAAAGTAATTTGTAAAGTACAATGCAAATAAGAAACATTAGCATTACTGCTATTATTATCCCCAAGTTAGAACCTAGTTTCATAGAAATCAGGAGATCATATATAAAAGGCTTTTCATGCAGCATATCCATTGGCTCTGTGGAAATGAAGGACAGGTTGGTTGCTTTGGTCCATACTAACGGATAGCCAGATGTAAAATGATTTTGTTTCTTATTTTTCAGAAGTGGGGATTCATTTGCTAAGGCGAGTGTTTTACTTCTTCTGATAAAGGAACAGTTTATTTTTAAATTCTTTATCCATTTTAATGAGAAATAAGATAAAATAATAATGAAACAGTCTCAAAACAGGTTAGTAGGACACTTACAATAACTAATACATTGCATATTATTGCCTTCATAGTAATTAGAGGAGAAGATATAGACATATTTTTTCTAAACAATATTAGTACAAACCATTCTTCTCACTGAACTAAGAAAATGTAGCTGTGGGAGATATATACACGATGGTTAGCTATCCTAACCATCGTGTATATAAACACACATTTTTTTCACTATAACATGGTCCTTTAGGGCCAGGGAGATGGTTCAGTGGAATAAGCACTTCCCTGGCAAGTGCAAGGGCATGAGTTCAATCCCCAGTTCCACACAAAAAAAAAACCAAAAAAACAAAAACAAAAACAAAAAACGGTCCTTTATATCCTCCTTTTTCTGTTTTGTATTGTGAGAGATGGGTGTTCCACTGCTGTTAGAGAAGCTGTATTTGGAGAAGGAAGAGTCTTAAAAGCCCTCTCTGTATGTGAGGAGAGCAGATGAACTAGGTAGGCTGTGTTTCTAGAATGAAGATTCTCTTCCTTTAATTCAGGCCTTTCTCTTAACCAGGGTGTGTCATCTTTACTGGCTAGAATCAACCCTGAAGCTATGTCATATCTTACCATTGGTTCCTTGCCTTGTTCTCCCAAAGGCATGCTCCTCTTTCAGCCACTCATAGTGTCTCGGGTTATGTGCCCTTGGACATTGGAAAGGAGGTTAACAAAAGCCTGCCGAAGTTGCCCATCTTCCAACTAGCTATGTCCATTCCAGGCCTCTCTGTACTCCTTACCAATACATCATACCTTGCTATTTTGTGGTTTGACTTTTGCAGACTCACTATTTCACGGGTTTCCAAAAACCATTAAACTAGACAGAGTAGAAAGAGTGAGGAGACTGTGTCTGGTTCCTGCTCTCACAGTCATTGCAGTACATTGAGCTCCACAGAGACAGTGCTGGGGCAAGTGAGAGCTGGATGGGCACTGGGCAACTCTGTACCTCATTGAGGAAAACAGTTAACATGGGCAAAGGAGATCCTAAGGAGCTGAGAGGCAAGATGTCATCATATGCATTCTTTGTGCAAACTTGCTGAGAGGAGCACAAGAAGAAGCACCCAGATGCTTCCATTAGCTTCTCTGAGTTTTCTAAGAAGTGCTCAGAGAGGTGGAAAACCATGTTTGCTAAAGAAAAAGGAAAATTTGAAGACATGGTAAAATGGACAAGGCCAATGGAATGCCCATCTCTGATAAAACTAAACAAAAAAGAGGGATACAAATGAATGACCATTTTGTATCTGTATGTTCAAAATAGGATAGATATACAGCTGCATTTTCTTAATTCAGTGAATAGAGAGATTTGTTCTAATAGTGTTTGTGGACAGGATATCATGTCTGCGTCTTGTACAATAAATAACCACTAAAGCAACAATAAAAAAAAAAAAACAGACAAGACTCGTCATGAAAGAAAAATGAAAACCTATATTCCTCCTAAAGGAGAAACAAAAGAAGTTCAAAGATTCCATGGTGCCCAAGAGGTCTCCTTTGGCATTCTTGTTCTTTTCTGAGTATTGCCCAAAAATCAAAGGAGAACATCCTGGCTTCTCCATTGGTGATGTTGCAAAGAAACTTGGAGAAATGTGGAATAATACTGCAGCAGATGACAAGCAGTCATACGAGAAGGCTGCTAAGCTGAAGAAGAAGTATGAAAAAGACATTGCTGTCTACCGGGCTAAAGGAAAACCTGATGCAGCAAAAAGGGGCTTATCAAGGCTGAAAAAAGCAAGTAAAAGGAGGAGAAGGAGGAGGAAGAGGAGGAGGAGGAGGAAGATGAAGATGAAGAGGAGGAAAAAGATGAAGAGGATGAAGAAGAGGATGATGGTTAAGAAGTTGGTTCTAGCAGTTTTTTTTTCTTGTCTGTAAAGCATTTAACCCTTGTACACAACTCACTCCTTTTGAAGAAAAAAGAATTGAAATGTAATGTTGTGTAAGATTTGTTTTTTATGGAATACCCTTCTCTAACAAAACTAGACAAAAAAGGGGGATACAAATGACTGACCATTTTGTATCTGTATATTCAAAATAGGATAGATATACAACTGCATTCTTGTAATTCAATGAATAGAGAGATTTGTTCTAATAGTGTTTGTGGACAGGATATCATGTCTGCATCTTGTACAATGAATAACCACTAAGACAACAATATGCAATGTATTAATTATGGAAACTGTGCTAGTAATTGGTTTTGAAACTGCCTCATTGCTATTTGTTTCTCAGTAAAATTATTTTTTAAAAAAGATTTGTTTTTAAACTGTACAGTGCCTTTTTTTGTATAGTTAACACACAACTGAATGTGTCTCTAGATAGCCCTGTCTTGGTGGTATTTTCAAGAGCCACTAAGCTTACCTGATACAGTATGGGAGTTGTAAATTGGCATGGAAATTTGAAGTAGGTTCTTGTTGCACAGCCGAAATTAGTTATACATGGGGCGGGTAGTTTTTCATCTTCAGTTGTCTCTGATGAAGCTTACATGAAATGTTGTTCTGTTAACTGAATACCACTCTGTAATTGCAAAAAAATGTTACAACTGTTTTGATGACTTTTTGAATGCTTTTAAGTAAATACAATTTTTAAATTAGTATTGTTGTCCTTCTCATAGGTCTGAAATTTCTTCCTGAAAGGAAGCTAGTCCTTTGCTTTTGCCCATTTTGAATCACATTAATTATTGGTGTTTATTTTTCCACAAGTTAGTGGATGCCAAGCTTCTGTCTATACACCCTGCATATAGTGATGGGGATAATAAGATTCCAATTTGAGAACATTTTCATCCAAAACAATTAATCTGAATTATCAGATTTTTTTGCTATATTGTAGGATTTTGCAGTACCGTACTCTCTCTCTCTCTCTCTCTCTCTCTCTATATATATATATATATATATATATATATATATATATATATATAGTTAAGTTTACATATGGTTTACAAATTTCAGAAATATTTAAGAACATTAGAAGTGTTTGTAAAGATGTGGGAAAAGTTTATAAGAGTGTGGGAAACATTTATAAAGCATACATATATCTATCTATCTATCTATATAGTCACTACTTTGCTGATTTTCACTTATTATGGAAGCACTTAGAATGTAGCCTCCTCGATAAGTGAGGGAACACTGTACAGCAGGTTCCAAGGCTGTCCTTCCTCAATAGGCTATGCTGCCTTTACTTAGGACTATAACAGTTTACAAGAAAACTGGAGCAGAAAACATGAGGAACAAGGGACAAAAATTGCATCTTCCTTGAGATGAAGCTAGCTTCCTTCAGGGTTTCTGCCAAGAAGTATCCTACCTAAGCAGAGTCACTGAAAACTTGGGTTCTTTAGTCAGTGTGACTAAGTTTCAGGTGGACTGGAGGGTAAGGCACTTCTTCCAAACTAATCTGGTCCAGCTGTTACTATTGTCGGAAGGAAGAAGGTTACAGTAGAGAATTCTAAGGCCATACCAGTGCCCAGGGCTAGTCTCAGGCCATTGTGAGACAAGTGAAGGGTTGAAACAAGGGCAGAGTACCTTTCTCCCTTCAAGTCAAAGCACAGATCTGAGACACAGACCTTTCTCGGAGAAGAAGAAATAACTGCAGCCTGAGTTTCACACACTCTATTCCCAGCCCAGTTTTCTGTGGCCAGCTTAGGCACTTTAGGGAAAAATGAGTTAAGGGGAGACAGAGAAGGGTGTGGATTTATGCAGTAGCTCCAGAGGTATGGTCCTGGTCAGTTGTAGTTTTCCAGGTCTGTTCCAAGCAGTCTTCCTAGAGATGAGTTCACTCTAATCCATCCTTCTCTTCTATATATTGACAGAGAGAGGGTCAGGAAAGAATGGTGAGAATGGGAAGTGTACTTCCCCCTAGTGAACTAACCAGTCCTTACTAGAATCAGCTATATCCACCAGGGGAAGAGTCCAAATGTAATTTCACATGTTTACACTTAAGTTTCCTCAAATGTGAAATAAGGCTATTGAGAGTGCCTACTGCTTAAAACTATTGTATGTTTCAGAACCAGTATATATAAAGTATCAAACAAAATGCATAAAATAGTAGAAGCTCAAGCACTGTAACAACTTTTATTAATATTTGGTTCTCAGTTTCTAAATGGTAAATGAGGATGACAGTGTAGTTACCTTAGAAGAAGTTTCATCTGTTCTCTTAGACAAATTTTAATGTTCGGAGACACTCCCTAAAAGTCATCTATGGGCTAAATGCTCTGGATCATCTGCGAATTTTAATCAGTTGCGATCTTTAACCTAGGCCAGAAAGAACAAACCTGCAAACCTGGCTAAAAATATCATTAGCAAAGGAAATGCAACTTGATAGCTATTGCTCCCTCCTTTAGGGTTCCTATCAGCTTACAAATCCCCATCCACTATTTTTTAAGCTTTTTTAACTTTTGAAGAGATTACAAAATAGTAATGAAAAAAATTACAAATAATACAGAATGTAACTAAACAAAATAATATGAATTTGATAGTACTTGTTGGATGTGCTGTCTTCAAATTAGTTGTTCAGATAACCAGATATATGCATGCAAAATTGGAAAAAGAAAAAAGTGAGAAATTAAGGAGAGGAAATAACTGCAAGCATGCGCGGGGCCAGAGATTCAATCCCTGGGCCTGCTATGCAGACCCCGCCCCCGGGGCACTCTGAGATGGCAATTGAGACTGGTTGTGGTGGCGCGTGCCTGTAATCCCAGCTGTTGAGAGGCTGTAAACAGGCAGATCACTATGAGTTGGATCTAGTAGTGAAACCCTGAACACCCTGGAAACCCTTCCTTAAAATACCAAAAAAAGGAAAAGAAATGAAAAATGAAGACAAAAGAAATTAATCAACTGCTCCTTTCTATAGACCAACAGAAATCCACAGTATAGTTAGTTGTCCGAACCATCTTGCTTACATACATAGATAAATCTCTTTCCCCCACTCCTTCTCCTGTCCTGCTACTCAGCTCAGAAATCCCTTCCTTTTGAACAGATTCCTTCCCTTTTCAAAGTATCTATTGTACCCTTTAGATTTTATTTTATCTTTCAAGTTCTTACATTAAGGAGACAATACAATGTTTGCACACACAGATCTGATTTATTTCACTTAAGAGTATGGTCTCTAGTTGCATCCAGGTGCCAACACCATCCCAGTGCTTCCACACTGGTGGCTCACCCCCATCCACTATTTACCTTTCCTAGCAACCCATTAATCAATCAAACCTGGTTAGGGATGGTTATTCATTGTCATATGCCTAGGTTTAGAAAAGTGAGATGGTGGGGCTGGTGAGATGGCTCAGTGGTCTAAAGCACCTACTTGGAACAAGCTTAGTAAACCACAGGGACCACGGTTCAATCCTCCAGCACCACATGCCAGCCAGCCCTGCCCCCTGGTGGGCTGAGCTGGCCACACACACACACACACACACACACACACACACATAATAAATAAATAAATGTAAAAAATTAAAAAAAAAAAAAGAAAAGTGAGATGGTGACTGGAACGCATAAGCTCCCAAGTCTCTTCAGTTCCAATTTTATTCCACTCTGTTGAATTGTGTTGGTCACAATTAATGGAGGAAGGCTGAGCCACAAGCACTGGGACAGTTTCCTTCACACATACATGAGCTGTCATCTTCCCTTCTTATCCCACCCTTCCTAAACTTCTCTATAGCATTCCCAGTCTTCACCAGTTGCTACTGGTTTGGTCCTAGCCAGCACATTTCAGAAAGTCTAGTTACTTAGAATCCAGGGGAGTATTCAACCTAGCCTGTGAATGTTCTCCTCATCAGAAACGCCATCACCACCACCACTAGGAGATAAGTTTGAGGAGCCCAAAAAACATTCAATGAACACCTGGTACTGTGGACAAAAGATGCAGAATTTGAATTAAAGAGAATGACCACTAAGATGATATGGGACATTTTTAAATCCCACAGCACAAGCTGATTTTAAAACCTGTTTATGGGCTGAAAGAAGTACTAACTGGCTTAGTACACTTTGGTAAAGCTGTGGAGGCTGCTGAGAGAAACTGCCCCCTTAGCTGACCTTGCAATGACTACTCCCCAATTTGTAATCTTGCTGTTGAGGGGCATCTCTTCCCCAGAAGGCATTTCATTATCTCTCTGCAGAACAAACTCAAATTTTTCTGCCTCAATTTGCTTCCATACTCAGCCTTTCTTAGTCCACTGTTACAGGACTCAATGTTTCTCTTTATCTTTCTCAAATGCATCCACCATCTTATAGTCACTACATGTACTGGTCACACATAGCAGAAGCTCAAATGTGTTCATTCAATTGCATTCTAATTCACTGGGAGTTTGCAGACTAAATTCTTACAAGGTGTTTGATTTGAGAAAGTGGCCTAACTTTTCTGTGACATAAATGTGTTACTTGTAAAATTAAGAAAATTCTACATACCATCCAGAGTGTGATAAGAACTAAATATGATCAGTGTATAGGCAAACTGATCATTAGGCACAGAGTATATATTCAATAAAGGGCCCTTGTGATGCAGCTCCTTGCAATGATCTCCAATTCCTTAGCTGCTACCATAGGTTCTCCAAAGAAGACACAAGCTTCATAGTTCCTCTTCACCTCAATACTGAAATCCTGCCACCTTCCTCCCTGCTCCAGTGTTAACTATGTTGTACACCATTGCCAGATTCATTTTCCTACACTGATTTCAGTGCATCAGACATTTACTTACCAAATTATTTCACACTGCTTACAGGATCAGGTTACTGAGGGCTGATAAAGAAAAACAAAGAAACAAATTTCAGGATACAAATGAACTGGGAGGAGTTCACCTCAAGTGCAGATTATCTCTAGTGGACTAGCTCTGCTACAATTTTATTGGCTAGCAAGAAATGCAAGGGGAGGGTAGCATGCATTTCCTGGGACAGCAATTATAGAAAATGAGAGAAGGTGTGGACAGGCCTGGCATGGGACCAAGATTGCAGAAAGGCCTAGTTGAACGAGTTCAAACTTGGTAGATCTGGTCTCAGAGAGCTGAGGCATATTGCTAGACACAGATCTAGGAGAGCATTTTCTCCCTGTTCAGGGAGAGGTGGCAAGAGGTAACTGGGATGAGCTAGTCTGCCTGGAAGACTACAGGTACATCAAGAGGAGGTGACCTAATGGAACTTAGGTGAGCTAATTTAAATACAAAGTCCCAATTTCATATCTGCTTAGCTATACAAGCATAATATTTGCTCTTAATGTTTAAAATACAAACCCATTAATTATGAAAGTTTGTTAACAGGGCCGGGGAGATGGCTCAGTTGAACAAGTGCTTCTCTGGCAAGTGCAAGGGCCTGAGTTCTGGCCCTGGCTCCACAAAAAAAAAGTGTGTTAACAGCTATATCTTACTACCCATTATTGGTGTTGCTAATTGTAATACTGTAAATAGAAAACTGTATCTGCCTTAACCATGTGATCTGTCTTAGGTAATAATATCAGAAGGTGTTGGGCAATAACTGCAACAAAGCTCTATACTCAGGGTCAAAGGTCAGTGGCAAAAAGAAACCAGTAGCGCACTCTCAATCAATAGAGAGGGCAAAATTTTGGGACACATACAAAGCAAGAATCTTTGACACAGAAGAGATACCTGAAGAACAGGCTATACATAGAGGCTTTGCTCACAGTGATTTAGCTAACTATTATCAAACTTTCATACAAAAAATCACAAAAATCAAAATAAAGTGTTGTCTCTGAAATATAAAATGACAAAAAGAAGGAGCAAAATGCATTCTCCGGCCCAGAGTCCACCCAGAACAAACACAGGAGACACTAGCATAGAAGAAATTGGGAATCACACAGCTGACATGTCCGAATTAATAGCATCTGAAGTAAAGAAAGAATGGCAGAAAATATAGAGGAAATCAGATCAGAAATAATCTCTGAAGTAAAAAAAGAAATCATAACTCTAATGAAAGAATTGCTAAGTGTTTCTAAAGAAAACACTGATAAAAATAGAGAAGAGAAAAATGATGGAAAGCTTGAATAAGCAATGTAGAAAATAAACACAATGCATGAAGCAGATTCAAAGAGATATTCAAGAGATTAAAAACTCAATTAAAGGTTGGCAAAACCATCTGAATGAAAGTGAAGATTAGACTTTCAGACCTTGAAGACATTGCTGCAGTTAGTGAAAAAGGAAATATCTATTAACCAAATAACATCAACCCAATTAAAACCACACCCAGTCATATAATAATCAAGATCCCAGGAATTCAGCACAAGAAAAGCATAATAAAAGCCAGTAGAGAAAAGAAACAGATCACATTTAAAGAAAAACCCACCAGAATAATGGCACATTTCTCTGCACAAACCATCAAACCAAGAAGAGCATGGAAGGAGGGGTGGCCGGATATCTCAGCAAACTAAAGCATCTGCTTAGGGAGAGTGCAGCAGCCAAGGTTTGATCCCCAGCTTGCCACGCCGGCCCCAGCACCAGGATGTGCTGAGACTGTGTGCGATTGAGACTTGGCATGGTAGTTCATGCCTGTAATGCCAGCAATTGGGAGGCTGAAAACTGGAGAATCACTGTGAGTCTCAACTATGTAGTGAGACCCTGTAGACGCTGTACTAAATACATCAAATTAAAAAAAAAACCTAAAAAAGAAAAACATATAGCAAGCTACTTCGAGTATTGCAAGAAAACAAATCCGAACCCAGACTGATATACCCTGTAAAACTCTTTTTGAAGTTTAATGGAGAAGTGAAATACTTTCATGACAAAAAACAACTAAAGAAATTCATGATGACCAAGACAACCCTACACAGACTACTAAAAGATATTCTAGAGAGGGATCAAAACGACCAAAACACCAAGAATGAGAATGGAAAGAACCCACTAAATAGGGCAAACAATTAAACACAGGACAAAAACAAGTAAACAACAGCAAGTAAATAACATGTCAATCGTAAATCAATACATCTGAATTATAAGCATCAATGTAAATGGACTCAATTCACCAATTAAAAGAAATAGACTGGCACAGTGGATTAGGAAGTAAAATCTAACAATATGCTCTATACAAGAAACATATTTAACTCATAAAAAATTTATCAGATGGAAAACAATACCACATGCCCCAGCACCTCAGAAAAAAGCAGGGATAGCAATTCTGTTCACAGACAATCTGAACTCCAAACCAAAAATGATCAAATGAAATGAAGAAGGCCACTACCTACTGGTTAGGGGAAAAATACAAGAGGAAGAGAGAGATAACAGTCAGAAATATGTATGCAGCAAATACAGGAGCGTCCAATTATATGACAAATCTTAATGGACATGAAATATCTAATATCCAGTACCACAATCTTAACAGGAAACCTTAACACCACCTCATCCCAAAAAGATAAATCAAGCAGACAAAAAATTAGCAAAGAGGTAACATAACTGTACCAGACCTTCAAACAAATGGATTTAGTGGATATACACAGAGTGTTCTACCCAAAAACATCTGAATGCACATTCTTTTCAGCTGCACATGGGACATTTTCTAAAATAGGCCACATATAGTCGATAGGTCATGCTTAAGTCTATGCAAGAAAACAAAATTATCCCATGCATATTATCTGACCACAGTGCAATGAAACTGGAAATGACAAAAAAACCCACAAAACCCCATAAACACATGGAAATTAAGCAACACCCTCCTCAACAGATGAAATTAAACAAGAAATTAAACAATATCTATAATCCAATAAAAATTTAAGCATAATTTACCAGAACTTATGGGATGAAATGAAAGCAGTTCTTAGAGGGAAATATATAGCTGTGAACTTACACATTAGAAAAACTGAACAAGAACAAATAAATACCTTAATGATGTACCTCAAGGGTCTAGAAAAAGAAAAGCAAGCCAAGCCCAAAGATGTGAGGAAATCATAAAGAATATAGCAGGAAATAATGCAGTTGACACAAAGAAAACAATACAAGGAACTGATGAATTAAAAAGCTGTTTCTTGAAAGATTAAACAAAATTGATAGATCCCTAGCTAACCTCATCAAAAACCTTATCAGAAAGAAAGTAAAAACTCAAAAGCTCAAATTCAAATTCAAGGAATAAAGAATGAAAAGGGTGTTAATCTGAGCAACAGATTTGAGGATAAAAAGATAATATATGAATCATTGTTAATCAGCTATTCTTGTTTTGAAAATCTATAATGTATATTGTTGTATGTTACTGTTTCTGTGTTTGCTTTTGCTTTTCTTGCTTTTGTTTTTAGTGTTCAAAATAAAAGATAGTTATAAGAAACAATAAGAAAATGGGAAGATAAAGGATTAAATTAATGGGGAACCTAATTTTCTCTAAACCTACATGTCTGTATTTTGACAAAGGTCCTTAGCAGATGTTATCTCACCTTAGGAATGGTGTGTTATTAGCATTCTGGCCATAGCCAGGGGGAATGTGTCAGTACACTCATTTCCTGTATCTCTTCCCCATGCCTGAAGCAAGGTCACACTGACCTCAGGACTAAGAAGGAGGACTTAAGTCACGGAGTATGGCCCTCCATAGTCCATCACATAGCCTGTTTCTCAACACGGGATCAAATCCCTTTGCCTGATCCTGAGGGCTTGCTCACTCTACGTGCTTCTTGCAGGATTTCTCTCTCACTTTCTTGATCCTGAACCTTAAGTCACAAGTTATCGAAAGGTTCTCTTTTGTCTAGGAGATGTGGTAGTCTATACACAGCTCTTTTTTTAAGTTTTTCCTTGTGGTACTAGGGCTAGAACCCAGGGCCCTGCACATGCTAGAAAAGCATTCTACCTGTGAATTATAACCCTAGCCCTAGTAAGAGTTCTTGATATGCAATATGCCAGCTTTCTCCTCAGGTAACTACAGTCCTCTTCTACCTTAACTGACAGGGCCTTTGGGAGCCACACACATCAGACTCCCCTCTCAATCTCCCAAGTCACCTTAGAGAGGAGCATGTTTGAGATAGGTAGCCTACCTGCATAAGCTTCCTGTATGTCAGTGCTAGCCCAGGAATGATGAAATCAGAAATGGGCTCCACCCCTTCCCTAGCTTCATCTGTAGGAGGCACATTCAGATCCTCGTCTTGGTCTTAAGAAGCCAATATTTGTAATCTCAAAGTTACATTATTGGAATCCATCAAGTTGATTCCAATCTACGACTTTCAATGCAACCCACAGCAAAAATAAAGACACTAAATTATATTTTCAATCATCGGGGAGTCAAGGGGCTCTAAGTCCACCCACGAAGATGGCTTTCCGGAACCAAGAGAGCCACCCAGGGCCTCACCCTGTTTTATTCAGTGGAGGAGTGGCCTGAGGAGGATTGACTGAGAATTGTGGGAAGTTAGGTGACTACTATGAGCTGAGCTAGGTGGCTGGCCTAAAGTTACCTCTGCCATATGCAGAGAGGAGATATATATATATAGAGAGAGAGAGAGAGAGAGAGAGAGAGAGAGTAATCTGCATTATACAGTATCTAATGTTTTGGTAAGTCTGGTGCTTCAGCTTTGATGTAGTCTTTCAAGCCCCAGGAAGTCATAGCCTCTATCTTGAGGCTCTATCCCAGCTGGCAGCATGGAGCATTAGCTCTACCATCCTGTCTCAACCTGGCTCACACTAAAGAGCTGCAGGTAGAGGTTACCAGGGAAACATGCACGCCATCATTAAAGACTATCACCAGCACCTCAGCTAGACCAATATACATTGCTTAAGGCCAATTGAAGGATAAAGAGAAGTCCTAGCCAGCTCTGTACAGAACAATATGAGAAAATAAGGTCAGGCTCAGTCAAAATGGAGACAGTTGCTCTTCTTTCAAGGAGAGCTACTCAGGTGGTCCTCCACATCATCCTTTACTGAAGAACCAGAGGAGCTAACTTTAGGGAATTAGAAGTAAGACAGTAGCCACAGAAATTCTGTAGAGAAGCAGTTAGGGCAAGCAAACAATGCAGACCGCAGACTTTTCTATGAAACCATTTCCTTCTCCTCACTATACTCTATGCAGGAGGACAAGGGAGAAAATAGGTTTGGGTAGGGGAGGAATATGGAGAATGCTTTGAAGAGATCTTCAAATTGGGGACCAGGTGCTTTGGTCTTACATGTATCCTTGGTCACTTCACTTCTGTATTCTAGACCTCAGTTTCCCTATTGATATTGTTAATGTTAAGTCATGTTATGGCATGTAATGTCTACATTAATTGGAGCTATTCGCTTCCTACACATGGCATAGTCTACTTACTTCTCCTTCCCCTCCTGCACACCCCTTGCATTTTTTCCCTTGAACCACTTTCCTATTGCAAGAGATCTACCTCATTATCCTCTTTTATCCATACTTTATTATTTTTTTATATGTTAGAGGCAGTGAAATTGATGTAATAACATTACACCCCCCTTTTAGCTTCAGTTGCCTGTCTGTTAAAAGTAAGGAAGCTGGCACCATTTCTTTGCAGTTATAGAAACAAGCCTGTGATCTGCTGTGCTTGCTGCTATTTCTCTCATTCCCTTATTTCCCTAGATCAGTGGAGCAGGGCTGTTCCCACCATACACATATTCCAAGAATGCAAATTTAACAGTTCTTAAAGATTTTTTAACACCTCTACTATACTAAGAATCATTAGATTGCTAACTTTTTGCAGCTATATTCTCTCTTTTTGAAACTCTCAGCCCCAACAGGCGGCAGACTTAAAAGCAAGAGACAAAGAAGATACAAATGGGTAAAGGGATTCTCAGATGCAGCTCCCAAATTAATTCAGCCTGCCTTCACTCTTACAGAATAGAAGAAGAGGAATGAGGGAGATATTGAAGTCCACATTGGGTGACGGCAGCTGGAGGCAGTAAAGTGTAAAGAGCCACTACACAGAAGGTAGTAAGTAACCTCTCCTTAAGTAGTTTTGAGACCATAAACAAGACCCTGGTGCTTTCAAGGGCTCAGGATTCCCATCAATAAACACAGTACTCTGAACTAGTTCTCTCCAAAAGCCTGTTTAGCTGAGAGGAAGGGGTTTGGCAGAGGCCTGGAAGACACTTCTAAATCCTCATCACATAGGTATTTAGGCTCTAGGCTTCCTCCATTGCATACACAAGCCAGAAGAAAGGCTAGATTGTGAAACTATTCTCTAGAGAAGTCCTGCCCCCAAGTCTATTTCCAAATCTATAGATGGTCTCTTACCTATCAGAATTACAGCATATTTTCAGTAACTAAAACCCCATTCTAAAACCCTTCAAAAAATTTCATTTTTATCATGGCACATTTTTACACAAAATATCCCCTACTTTTCTACTCTTCAATGTTCTTTCCCATAGGACTAGATTGCCATTAGACAGCCTGGTGGTTAGGATTAGGTATCCCTACTATTGAGGCCCAACCTCTTCTCTGCCTGAGAGCCATAACAGCTCAACCAGCAAGGACTCAATAACCTCACTCACCCTTTCTGTCAGCCACCTCCTCCCTTTTTTTTGTATTTGGTACAGGGTCTCACTATGCAGCTTGGAATCCTAGTTATCCTCCAGTTTTCAGCCTCCCCAGTGCTGAGATTGCAAGCACCACTGTGCCCGGTCTCTGGGCCTGCTCAGTGTGCCCTGAGCAGGATCTGTACAAGTGGTGCTGGAGAACAAATGCCACTCCCTGTGTTTCCCTAAACAGGCGCTTAGCCAACTGAGCTATCTCACTTGCCCTTCTCATTCTTAATTTTGATTACAGTTTGTTTACTAAGCCCCTCTAATTTCTGGCAGCTTCCTAAGGATAATTCTGCCAGCATATACGGAACTTTCATCTCTCTCTGTGACAGTTTAACTCTAGGGCTCATCAGTCAGCAACAAAGGGTATGTGATGCCTAGGTTCTGAACAGTCACAACCTTAAGAGTATCATTGAAGGCCCACCAGATAGCTCAGTGGATTAAAGCACTTGCTTAGGCAGATACAGTGACCCGGGTTCAGTACCCAGCCTGCTGTACTGGCCCAAGGGCCCTGAGAAAGGGATTATGACTGGGCGTGGTGGTGCATGCTTGTAATCCCATCACTTGGGAGGCTGAAAACAGGATGATCACTGCAAGTCTGATCTGTGCAGTGAGACCCTGTAGACCCTGTACTAAATACATAAAAAAGAGTATCATTGATGGGATATATCATGACATTTTTTTCTTATAGTTGCAACTCATCTCCATTTTCCATCCTCATTAGGCAACTCAATAAATATTTGAGCCTTGAATATCAGCTTTCTAACTACTTATATGGACCAGGACAAGCAAAAGTAGGACCACTGAAGATCTTGACAGTTATGTAAAGACATGAAGCACTTCTAGAGTATTCATTAACTACTCTGTACTACCAGACTTTGAGAGGGTTGAAATTGATGTCCAGGTTTAGTTTATTCTTCTAGAGGGTTCTTATAGAACTCAGTCATTGACAGTATCAGGGAGACAAAGCAGAAGCAGGGAGATTTACTTATCTGTTCCTTGTCATAACCTAAGCCAGAAAAAGTCCAGGAGCCACAGGCAGCCCTGGAGAAGAATTCATCACGGATAGCAAGAGGAAGGCAAGAAAGGAACTAGGGGACAAGTATGATGAGAACTGAGCCCTGAGAGGGAAGAGGTACAGGATGAGTCAGTGCGGGTGTGGGGAAGGGAGTTCTATAAAACAGATACAGTAGGTGGCTGTTGGACTGGGACAAAAATGAGGTCTAGCCCCGAGCTAGAAATGCTGACCTGCAAGTAGAGGTTTGTGTTGGGGCCTGGTGGATGCAGGAGGAAGTGACTTTATGTAGTGTGGTATCTATAGTTTTAGATGATGTAAAAAAAAAAGTCACAAGCCAGTGTTTCCCAAGTAAGAGATTTACTGTTTCTTATGACCTCACCTCAAAGGTGTTCAAGTTTTGCTGGGTCCTGTTGCTCACTGAGCTATGTACTCTAAAAGGTTTATCAAAGGTCTGGAAACAGTCAGCAAAGCCCCTTCATCATGGCCATGTCCTACCTCTTGTTTTTCAGGAAGACCTAGAACCCATTGCTAAGAGTGCTGCTAGGTGAGGTGCAGTGGATCTGGTCCAATGAGGGGAGTCACACTGTGGGACGGGACTCTGGTGAAATTCTCAGGCATAGGCTGAGAATTCAAAGCAACAATGTCCTCCCTGCTGCTCATACCCCTGCTGCAAGGAAGAGAACTGCAGAGAGGTGTTTGTATAGACAAGGCTTGCCTTAAGCAGCAGCCCATGCCAAGGCAAACTTGGCCAGATGGAGGACAGCTCTAGGTAATCCAGCTGCTGCCTGGGAGTCCCAGCTGTGCCACATCTGGCAGGCTTAGTCCCTTGCTACTGGGAAGACTAAGTGAAGTATAGCTTTTGGATGGTCACCAGGGTCAGAGGTATCTGCAGCAGGCAATGACAGTGGCCCAACAGGATGAAGATTTTTAAGTAATTGAGAAGTTAGAGCATTTGGGTCCTTTGCTAGTGCTGTCACAAACACAGTAAATTCCTTACTACAGGACTGCCCTTCTCCACCTCCCGCATGGAAATTCATTCCCTAACCCTTATTGCTATTTTTAAACAGGAGGCTGGAGAGAAAAAATTCGGCCAATGTCTTCCAAGGGGAAAAGAGGCAAGAGGAGAGGGGAGACAAAGCAGCCCTGCAGTTCTAAACCAAGGAAAAGCAAGAACCCCGTTAAAGAGTCCGCCTGCTGGCCTGCCAGGACTCCAACCAGATGCACCTTAGAGGCCCAGGAGGAGATGAGACTTGGGGCCACAGAACCAGGATTCCAAGGGAAGACGGCGGCCTGCGGCCCAACTGAGGTTTACTGGGGAGGAGACGGTATGCATATTGTAATCTATTCCTAAACCTAGGCTTCCCTTGCAAAAAGGAGAGGCAGAAGAGGCACAACAGAGAAGGAAGAGGGAGGGGCCGCAGCAAGGCCGCAGGGGTGAACAGTACCCGCATAACAGCTGTTCCAGCAAATGTGTTACAACAAAGCTTTGGCGCTCCAGGCCTACAAATGCACTGCTTGGGTTGCTGGTTGGAGGGGCCGCTCCCCGTGCAGCGCAGCAGAACATGCGGGTCCATCTCCTCTAAGGGCCCGAGGTAAGGCCCAGGTTAGCCTGCCGGCCTGTTCTCCCTCTCCACCCCAACGCCAGCCGTAGTCGCCCCCCTTAAGGGGACTCACGGCTGCTCGACCCTCCACTGTACAGTCCTCAAAGCAGGTTCCAATGGAGAGAAGCGAGCGGCCCAGCCCTCAATGCCCTCCAGCAGGCGACCTAAACGAAGCACGCGGGAATGCACCCGACAGCCAGCAGGCAGCTCCTGGCTGCCTGTTAGGCTTACCCGGCCCGGTCCGGCTCCCTACCCGGCTATTTATTGTTTGCTGTGCCGCTCTAGCACCAGATAGAGCCGGAGTTGCCACGGCTGAGAGGTCCGAAACCGCTGCTCTTGCTCCTGCCGCCGCCGCCGCCACCGCTGCAGACAGGGCTCCACAGTCATCTCCAGTACAAATTCCCCTTCCCCAGGTTCTGGGCAGCTCGTCATAACCTCCTCCCTAGGACTTCTTGGACACAGGGTGCGGCGTCTGTGCCCTGATTGGCGGGCGTGTGGCCCAATCGCTACTGTGGATAGAAATGCTCCGGTCCGCCCACTGTTTTCCTTGGTACATTTCTCTTTAAATGCAAATAAGTGAGGGCGTGGAGTTGGCAGGAGGCGGAGAGGGCGCAAAACCTCCTGCTGGGACTCTACCCTCCCGCCCTTGTGCAGGGCGGGTAGCAGCGTGGCTACGTTGCCTGCTGTAGTGGCCTGTTAAACCCGGATGGGACTGGGACTCGCTGGGTAGCCAGAGGTCGGTTTCGTTTTTTTGCAGGCACTTCTGTTTCCCAGGCCACCGTGCATTTTCTCTGCTGTTCTTTGGTCGCCATCTAGAAGTATATCGCCAGAAATAGGCAAAAGAGAAAAGTGGGGCTGAGAGGTTGGGGAGGCTGGACGGACTGTAGAGCCACTTGGCACCCTGGCTGAGCATTACTTAGGTACAGAGGCAGGGCCACGTAGTTAGCACTCCAGGCCACATGGAGGAGGTGGTCCACTGCTGGGAAAGCCAGCTCTGGTACCTGGGCCATACTTTTGACCACCTCTGACACACCAGGAAGGGCATCATAGAGGTCAACTTGCATCTGTTACTGATGAGCCCACTGCTATTAGAGAAGGCAAGGTGCTTTAACAAAGGGTATGACTACAGCTTGTATCTAGAGATCTCTCCAAAGCTTCCCTTGGCCACTAATGGGGCTCTTCCGAGGTGGCTGGATACAGGGTCCCTGAGAGTGGGATTAAGAAAGTGATTTTGGGATTAAGGGTGTGATGCTGGCGTTAAGGTTTTCCCACTCTGGGATAATGTAGCACCAATCAATGGATAGGTAGCCTGGATGAAATTTAAAGTCTGGCTTGTTTCCTGCTGCTGCTGTTTCCCTGTTTTGCTGCCTTCGCCTACCACACTACCAACTGTTTCTCCTCTGTGATGCCCCTCTGCCATGCTACCCTGCCTTGGGGCCCACCAACTATGGACTGAGTTCTCTATAAACCGTGAGTTACAGTAAAATTTTCCTCCTTTAGCTTGGATGTTGGGTAGTTTCTCTTAGCAATGAGAAAAGTAACTAAAACAAATAGTGAACCCACCTGTGATAGGAACAGTTTTTTAATCCAGATCCCTGGGATTATCCTCAAGGTCTGTGTTGAGTTTTCTTCTGTGAGGAGATAACTGTTTCCATAGTTTGAACCTCACCCAAGTTTCCTACTTTCAAGGGAACACAGAAAGGATCCCTAAGGTCTCTGGAGTACAGCCCCTCCCCTTAATTGTGTGAGCGGGGCTCTGTGCAGATCCCTTTCCCTGAAAGGCCTGGATATTGAGTTTTATTTGGGTCCTAATTGAAGGTGAGACTGAGGACAATGACATAAGGCCTATATTAACCTTGACCTCTACTGTGCCTGGATGTGGCAGGGGGCCAGCTGGGTTTAAGTCTTTAGTTTAAAGAAATTAAGTGGCACTTATGGCTGCCAAGGCCAGGTTAGCCTAGACAACAAAGAATCTAGTTGGGCCACTAGTTCAAGGATGTCCAGATGACCCAGTTTTAAAACTCTTTGCTTTAAAAAGGGAAGGAGAGTGGATTAAGTTTGAGAAGAGAGGGAATGATTACAAAACAGTGTGAGGCATTTTTCATTGTAGGAGTATCCTTGACTGTTCTACTAAGTACTCTTCGCTGCTGAACTGGTAAGAGGTTGACTGCTGTCTGCATGCGTGGAACACAGGAGCTGACATGGCTGCAACAGCTGGATTTGCTGGACCTGTAATTGCTGTGAGACTTGGGCCAGTCTATCATCCCATCTCTGTCTATAAGGAGGTAAATTCTATCTGTTCAACTCAGTTTTTCCTCTAATATTCTACTAATTTTCATTAATGTTTTGGCATTGTGCACATCCATAAAAATTAGCATTGAATGGTACTCCCTTAATCCTTCTTCTATGTTTAAATTAATGACTGGGAATGAGGAGTTCATTGTGTAGCTTTTTCTGGTAACTTCTTTCTTCTTGTCTTTAGGATCCTTATCTGGATTGGTAGACTGTGTTTTTCTGCTCTGCAAAGTCCTGATTCTCACTCATTGGGCCTAATCTGGAAGTATTTTTTTTCTTTCCCGCACTTTTATCATAAGCTTTCTTGCTGCCTTGGCCCCGGGCACTTGTTAGTTGCTCACATTGTACTCAGAACATTGATTTTCTGAATTAGGCCAAGATTATAATTTGGAGAACTCCATTTGTAAATCTGCAGTCCAGGGAAACAAAGGGCCAGGGCGGTCTCAGATGTCAGAATACGGTGAGAGTTGTGCAAAGGATATGCACATGTATGTGTTCATGAATACATGTATTTACACAGTAAGAGGGAGGGCAAATGAGAGGGAGAGGTACGGGTCCTTAATTCATGTATGTAACATGTATCTTAAAGTACTTCTCTCAGATGAGTCAGCCCATGTCTCCATTCCACATACTGACAACTACCACTTCACTGAATTACTTGGCCAGGACAAGGTTTGATGCTGAGGAGCAGGAAATCTTTCTTAGACTATTTTTATCTGAAAAATGGAGATAAACCCCTTGCTACCCAGTATCTATGGCTGCAGTGCAAAGTGGAAAGTGCATGTGTGTGAAGAGAATTCCATAAACTCAACTACACAAAGGAAGGCATATTATTATAATGCTCAATTCTTTTTTCATGGGATATTCCATGGGCACATACTCTATGCCCGTCCTGAGGATAGGTATTATGTACAGTGATGACCTTCTTGGGGCACTTAAAGAGTGTTCTGACAAGAGCTGAAAGCTAAACCAGAGGCCTGGCAAAGTTGTGTTATAGTACTGCATATGAAGAGAGTTCTTCCCTGGGGGTAAGGTGCATTAGAGAACTGTTCTGTAGAGAATGGCCTTGATGATTGAATCAAGTCTGAAATAGGAAGGCCAAAGTCCATCCATGTGAGAGGGTATGATGGTTTGGCTAAATGGTAGGACTCTGTATGGCTGTGTTTATTTTTGTAATGGGGAAAGGAAGAACTGGGTATTGTGTAGTACTAAAAAGGAAGATCTGAGGCCTAAATGAAAAAGACCATGACTTCCTGGGTAAGATTGAAGGTAAGCTAAGTAAGTTCATCCTTCCCATAGAAGTAGTACAGTATAGTGGATCTGTACCAGGCTATCTGGGTCATTACCTTAGGAACAATGTGGTATGGATGGTTTAATTGATCATTCCTAGTCTGGTTTTTTCTTCTACAGAATGAAGATAGAAATATTGCCATGTCACATGCCACTGCTGTCATAACAATAAGTGAATATTCTTTGTAAAGTAACACAAAGGCTAAGGCACACAAGGCTGTCAATAAATGTTAGCTATCATTATCATTATTTTCATTATTAGTCTCCATCTGATCCAATATACAGATTTTAAAAATTATGGAACTCTTTTTTTATAATTATATTGAGAAAGAAGTAGCAATGAGATAGTATCAAAACAGGTTAGTAGTAGTTACAATAATTAATACAGTGTATATTGTTGTCTTTGTAGTAGTTATTCCTAGTACAAGATGCAGACATGATATCTTGTCTAAACACTATTAGTTCAAAACCTTCTCATTGAACTAAGAGAAAGTAGCTGTATATATATGCTATTTTGTATACACAGATATATGTTTTTTTCCACTAAAAAATAGTCCATTTATATCACTTTTTTGTTTACTTTTGTCAGAGATGTGTACTCCATTGCCATTCATATACTGTAGGTACAGGAACTCAGCAGAGTAATCCAATATAGTCTAGTAGTCTATAATAGTAGTGGGTTATCTGCAGACTGGCAGCATCAGAAGTTGTTGACGTGCTTTTTAAAGCTCAGCGCTGAGCTGTGAAAGGCCCACATCAACAACTTCTGACCTTGCCAGTCCTATGGATAAACCACTACTATTAAGGACTACTGGACTGTATTGGACTATTTTGCTGAATTCACGCACCTACAATATTTAAATGGCAATGGAGTACCCATCTCTAACAAAATTAAACAAAAAAGAGGGCACAAAGGAAGGACGATTTTGTATCTGTATATACAAAATAAGATAAACATACAGCTACTTTCTCTTAATTCAATGAGAAGAAATATTTGTACTAATAGTATTTGGACAGGATATCATGCCTGCATCTTGTACTATGAATAACCACTAAGAAGATAACAGTATGCAATGTATTAATTATTGAAACTGTCCTATTAATTAGTTTTGAAACTGTCTCATTGCTGTCTGTTCTCAATAAAATTAAGAAAATAAAATCAAAATAAGGGGGAATATTATAAAGAAGATTAATGATAGTCTGTCTTTTTACTCTAATTAGTACTATAATAATATTTTTAAATTATAAACACCATAATATTGATTCCCCTTGATCAAATGCTTATGACAGTTTATGTCAAATAAAAACATTACATTGTGTCTTCATCCACTTTGTTAACCAGAAAAATAAAATAAAATAAAAAAATAAAAAGCATATTAATATGACTTTACTTTTTATACCTCAATTTTATACTTTTCTGCTGGATGGCTAAGACCAAGATAAAGCAAGGCCTATATAAAAAAAATGTAACCATTGTATCTGACAAGGTCAATCAAATCCCCTCAGTGTTTGCCCTGAAACCCTGTAGAGCAGTTTGTAGATCCTTTGTCAGTGTCAGCCATGTGGGTGAGTCACGCCATTGCTTGGCCAATTTGCTCTCTGAGAAAGCCTGAGAGAATGTTTCCTCTCCATGTGACTCTCCTTAGGCACACTCTACCTCGTCGATCTGGAACTCCTAATATGACTTTGAAATCATTTTTAGCATAAGCACTCGAGCCTATGATTCCTTATGCAAGATTCCCTTTGATGGTGCAGGCCTGGACTGAGTTTCCCAGGGAAGAGTTTTCTGTTCATCATTATATCCTTTGCACCCAGCAGAGTGCTTGACACAGATGTAGTGCTGAGCACATGTTTGCTAATCAC